CAGCTTTTTGGTACTAGATATTCCTGCCTGGGCTGGCTTCAAATCATGATCCTCAGATCTCAGCTTCCTCTTGAGAAGCAAGGATTACAGGTGTGAGCCACCAATAACATTTCTGTTTCTCTAATCAATAGTTCCATAATAGTTTGTTGGGAAGAACAAATCTGTTAATGTAGCCTTCCAAAGAGCTCCTTATTTCAATTTTTCCTCTATAGACCTTGTTTAAACCCCCCAGTCTCAGACTTTTTGTCTGTAACTCTTTTCCTTCCTTCCTTCCTTCCTTCCTTCCTTCCTTCCTTCCTTCCTTCCTTCCTTCCTTCCTTTCTTCCTTCCTTCCTTCCTTCCTTCTTTTCCTCAGTGCTTTGGGTCAAACTTAGGGCTTCTTGCATGAGACACAGACACTCTACTATTAAGGTACTTACTGGTACTGGAGTTTGAACTTAGGGCCTTAAACTTTCCAGGCAGTTTCTCTACCACTTGGTTCACATCTCCAGCCCTTTTTGCTTTTGTTACTTTTTGAATTGCCTCTCAGTTTGGTCCAGCCTGAACCACAGTCCTCCTATTCACACCATTCTCAGTTTTTTATTGGTTTAGGTATAGGTCTCACAAATATTTTGCCCAGACTGACCTCTGATTGCAATCCTGCCAATGTCCACTTCCTGATTGATTAAAATTACAGATGTGAGTCACCATGTCCTGCTGCCTCATTCTTATGTTTAAGTTCTCCATTTTCCCAAAGTTAGTATTTACTATTTGTCCCCCTTCCTATCCTCATTCTGGGCCTTAACTCTGTGTTGCCTAAATTGATCTATAGCCTGCTCTCTGACTTCTGGTCTCTAGTTTTCCTGTTGTCTAACCAATCCTACATTTCTTTCTTTTTTTTTTTTGGCCGACTGTGGGGCCTGATCTCTGGGTCTGGGCACTGTCCCTGAGCTATTCAGCTCAAGGCTAGTGCTCTACCACTTGAGCCAATGTGCCACTTCCAGCTTTTTTGCTTATGTGGTGCTGAGGAATCGAACCCAGGGCCTCATGCATGCAAGGCAAGTATTGAGCCACCTTCCTAGCCCCCTCAATCCCATATTTCTAAAGAATCCCTTTAACCAACTGTCTTCCTTCTCCAATTCTTCTTGAAATGAATTCTAATCATATTATCTTCCCTTCCCTACTCTTAGCATTGAAAAGCCTCTCTACCTTATCTCTACACATGATTTTTTTTGCTGGCCCTGGGGCTTGAACTTAGAGTCTGGAATCTGTCATTGAGCCTCTCTGTGCTGAAGGCTAGCACTCTACCACTTGAGCTACAGTGCCACTTCTGGCTTTTTCTGTTTATGTGGTACTGAGGAATCAAATCCAAGGCTTCATGATGCTAGGCAAGCACCCTACCACTAAACCACATTCCCAGCCTTTACACATGATTCTTGTGCTGACATTCCAAAACTAAACTGATAGAGTAGATTTGTTCTTTCACTGTTTCTATAAACGTTCTGTTTTCCTGTTACTCTGCATTTCTTATCCCAGTTCTCCTCCTCAGGACTTTACCCTGCCCCAGTCCCTTGGCAAAATAAAATCTTATCCATTTTTCAAGATTAGTCTCAAATTTCCTATTTATTAACTCTTCTCTGGGGATTCTAGCGTATTTACTTTTCATTCCTTGAAGTTTTATACAATTTTGTTTTATTCATCTGTAGGTCAATCATGCATTGCAACATCTATAAAAACAACTTATCTTAAGCTGGGTGCCGGTGGCTCACACCTGTAATCCTCGCTACTCAGGAGGCTGAGATCTAAGGATTGTAGTTCAAAGCCAACTCCAGCAGGAAAGTCTGTTAGACTCTTGTCTCCAGTAAACCACTCAGACAACTGGAAGTGGCACAATGGCTCAAGTGGTAGAGCACTATCCTTGAGCTGAAAAGCTGAGAGACAGCATTTAGGCCCAGAGTTCAAGCCCCATGACTGACAAAAAAATTTATCTTGATCACTATCATGTAATGGTTTCTTTTGTGTGTATTTTGTCTCTCCAACAACCTAAAAGCTCATTGGGGCCAGAAGTCAGAATACCTTCTTTTCAATCTCTAGGGTACAAGAACTGAGCACCTACTAGGGGCTGTCTCAGTAATGTATGCTGAATAATTTCCAATAGATTATCCAATTATGTTGTCACTACTTTGATAGACCACTAAATCCATGATTAATCTTTCCACATCCTATTTGTCAGGCATTGGTGGTGACAGAGAGTAGAAGGAACTGTCAGAGATAAAGTTTATATGGAAGAAAACCTATGTAGCTATTTACACCTCAAGCAAGATGAATTGCCACAATGCTCATGGTGAGATATTTTTCTATCAGCTAAATTTTATGTTCCACAGAGGTTGTGATTACAACCTGATACAACTCTCCTAAGAGAGTTAAGCAGGAAGCTTTTTTTCCCTTTTAACTTCATGCTGGGTAGTGAATATGTAGGCATTTAATTCAATGGAGTCAGGAATAGCACATCAATTCTCTGATGACATTCTATAGCATTTTTTGCATTCCTGAAGCAATAATTGAAATTAAAAATATACTTTGTGACCTTTTATGCCAAACTGGAAAATGTTATGTGATTCTTAAGAAGCATTTCAGTTTGAACAGAAGTAATCAAGGGAAAGACAGAAATTCCAGAAATGAGAATGGAAACGAAGTACAGAATGCACAACCCTTTGTGGTTACCTCTAATGCTATGTCATATTGTCCACATTGCCAGATAGAGGATGTGCTTCTCAATCAGGAAAGAAAGAATAAAAATTACAAAAGAATTAACTGCTAAATGCTAGTTATGTGAAAAACACCAGATACTGAGCAAAGGATCTCTCAATGAAGTGTGTACATTATGGGCCTGGGAAACCTTGACCATATGGCATGTTCCCATATCATAAGGTAGCAGAGTATATAGTTATGAGACTAAAAAGCCCAAGACCTGAGAAGTCCTACGGGTGTGGGGATAGATGGCTCATCTCAATGTTATTATTCTTTTATTTCTAAGCTCGTTTTTAGTGAGTCACAGTGCAGGATGCTCTGTCCCAAATGCCTCTAACAATTATCTGCCCGCTGCTAGTTATTTAAGCTTCAGGATCTTTTTCTCCTTGGCATTACTAGGAATAGAACTACAGACTTGTGCATGCCAGGCAAGTACTCTGCCACTGAACTATGCCCCCAGGAAGACATCAGAATCTTTTAAAGTTTGTATTTATCTTCCCTTTTTTCCCTAAGACCCTCAAAGAACTTTGCTTTAGGATGAATCATGCATCATTCCCTCTCCAAACTCAAAGTCATTTATTCATTAAAGATATTTATTGAGCCTCTGTTTTGTGCTGGACACTTTCCTTCCTTCCCTCCCTCCCTCCCTTTCTCTTTTTTCTTTCTTTTCTTTTCTTTCTTTCTTTCTTTCTTTCTTTCTTTCTTTCTTCCCTACTCTCTCTCCCTTCCTTCCTTCCCTCCTTCCTTCCTTCCTTCCTTCCTTCCTTCCTTCCTTCCTTCCTTCCTTCCTTTCCTTCTTTGTTTCTTTCTTTCTTCTTCCTTCTTTCCTTCCTTCCTTCCTTCCTTTATCTTAGCCCTAGAGCTTGAACTCAGGGCTTGAGTGCTTTCTCTGAACTTTTTCCCAAGGCTAGTGCTCTACCATTTGAGTCAGAGTTCCATTTTCTGGCTTTTTTGTTTGTTTGTTTTAGTAGTTAATTGTAGATAAGTCACATAGATTGCCTGGGATGGCCTTGAAAAACAATCCTCAGATTTCAGCCTCCTGAGTAGCTAGATTACAGGTGTGAGCCCACCAGTGCATAGCTATATGCTGGACATTTTATTTTATTTTATTCTTTTATTTTGTTTTTTTTTGGGGGGGATCCGGTCATGGGGCCTGAACTCTGGGCCTAGGCACTGTCCCTCAGCTCTTCAGCTCAAGGTTAGCGCTCTACAACTTGAGCCACAGGGCCACTTCCGGCTTTTTTATTTTGGCTTATGTGGTGCTGAGGAATCAAACCCAGGACCTCTGGCATGCAAAGCAAGCGTTTTACCACTGAACCACCTTCCCAGCCCCTATGCTGGACATTTTAAAAATGAAAATTAGTTGCCTTTACTGTGCTAGAAACAATATTATAATATTATTGGCATTTCTTCATATAGAAGTTAGCTTTTAGTAACTAATTGCTTTGGTATGACAAAACCTAAAACTAGCTTCATTGTCTCCAGACTAGTTTCTTCTTACTGATCTTACACAGCTATATGTGCTGGACATGTTTCTAAGTTAATAAATGATACAAAATCTCCCTCTTGGAACTTACATAACTATACAACTATAAAAAATCAGGCTGAGGGCAGAACCAAGAGTTTAAATGGTACCACATATTGTTAGGGATCAGTGGCCAGAGATTTGATATTGTCAGGGAGGAAAAAAAGAACCCTGATAAGCTTTTGGGAGGACTGCATGTTATTCTTCCCTCTACATTTGTGAAGGGGGAAAATAAGAAAAATAAGATCCCTTGCATAGTAGTTAAGGTCGTAAGCTTTGGAGTCACACAGCCTGGGTCTAAATTCTGGTTCTGCTACTGAATATTTATTGCATATTAATTGGTTCCTTCCTCTTTCTGAGATGCAGTTCTCTTGGTTGTTACTATAGTCATTCAGCAGACCCAATTCAAAACCACTGGTTGTAGCTTTGTTATCATACAGGCATCTAAGGTAGCTTCTCACATATCTTTTGAGTGCTTCACTCCTTGGTCATATGGTGACATCTACATATCAAGTGGATGTGTACAGAAATATCTAAGTTGCAAACTTATCAAAGTTTGAGTCTAAGTGAGTTACCTTTATTCATGAATAGTTCTAAACAAGTTCCCTAATGTTTTCTATCTATAATTTCAGACCAGATTGTATCTGCTTCCATTTTATTTTTTCTCTGTTTGAAAAGTGGCTTAACTAATGTAATTAAGTATTAACACATGAAAGTTATATGCATTCTTTATACTTTCCCTTACCTTGCGAACTTCTCCTTGTTGGACAGTTTTTAAGATATTAATCCATTCTTCCATGTCTTTTCGGTTGGATGCGGCCAGGGTGACTTTTCGTTCTGGTGTAATAACCTGAAAAAAATCATATTATTAGTTAATTCTCATTCCACAGCATTTCCCCCCAAACAGAGTCTGTGCACTCCCTTAGGAACTAGACATATATACCAAGCACATCCCAAATCTCTTCTTCAATATAAGACACAAATTCTCAGGGCCATTCATAGCAACTTAGATAGCCATCTAAAAAGGATAATAATGATAATAATTAAGACTTTAATAGCCCTTTCTGTGTGCCAGGAAATATTCAAAAGCACTTTATAGGTATATTATTTAAATCCAACTTTATTACAACTTAATAAAATAGGTATTGTTATTTTTCCCATTTTATAGCCAGAAAAAAACTAGACAAAGAAACTTAAATGATATGCCAGGGTCACTCAACAGGTAAAAAGCTAAGCCTTCATTGAAAACCAGATTTTTGGTCTTTGAATCCATGTTCTTACGTATTATGCCATGTGCTTACTATTTATTATCAAAACTGGGTTGCTGCTCTGTCTACCTGAAGTAGTAAAAGTTAATTTACTTCATTAAAGTGTGTCTCTTTCTGTTTGGGGGGAAAAATGAGATGTTTCTAAGTCCAATTTCTTGATTTCTTACGGAAAGAGACAACCTGAAGAGCTTTTACAGTGGTCTCAATCCTAGAGAGAGGCATAAACCAATATAGAATATAAGAAAGCCAGGCTGAAGGTCTAGCATACACATGGTAAACTTGGTCTTTTCTAACTATGGAATGTCATTGCATTGATGCATCTATTTGTTTTTATCACCAATGCCTCACCTCCCCAACAAGCAAGTTTTTTTTTCCTTTATCATGCAGCACAGGATAAGTATATTGGGATCATGATCATAGACTTCTTTGGTCCTGACTCATTCTTATTTGGGGATAATGGACAGTGCTTCTGTGTTTTCATTAGACTAAGAGAAAGCCTAAGCCTTAGATTTCTTAGTGGAATAGAGAACCAAGACATTAGCCTACAGGCTCTTCATTCAAAGGTGCAGATTGGGGGGAGACCAGTCAAGGAAATCCCCAGTTTTATCCTGGGCCAATGTGATGTAATGAGATAAAAACAAAAGCTGAGGCTCTCTCTTCAATTTAGCTGCTCTCGTTTCAAAGGATAGAACATGGAGTAGCCCTAGAAAAAAGGCACGGAGTCTGAGACCTTTTGATCTGATAAATTATCCCTTTCCTACACAAAGGATAACACTAGTCAGTTTTGGATGAGTTGAGTAAGAGAGTCCTAGGGCTATGGACTCACTATTTATCAGAGTTTTATGGTCTTGAGTTCACTTGAATGACTCAAACCACATGATATTTTGAGCACAATAAGCCCTGAATACTTTCTTAGAAAATCCTCTGCTTTCTTTGAGGTACTCTTTCATTATTAATCTCAACATGGAATAGATTTTACTTTGTATTTAGACTCTTATCTAACTCATCAAAGGAAAAGATGTCATGTAACTTGATTATCCTGATGTTTTCTATGGCATGTTAGTCTCTTGAAAGCCTCTCAGTGATACTCTTCTAAATCACCTTTAGCAGGAAGACTGAATTTTATAATGGTCACAAATTCCTTAAACCCCTGAAATCAGCTTAGTTTTATGTTAGGCTACTAATATGGAACAAGGCCATTACTTTCTCCCTCTATCAGTGGACTGGTAGACATTTGTCTGAATAATGACACTTTATGATAGAAGACGACTTGGGAAGCTTGATGTCCAGATGTAACAAGTTGGTATAGTAATCCACTTAACTGGATTGCCTAACCACTGTGGTTGCCTAGTTAGCCCTTATTCATGTCTATTTAGTTATTCCAAATCTTACTTACACAAAAACTGTGGCAAAGATTTCTACAGCTGCTTTCTGCCAAGGTGACTTGCGAAAGATCAATTGTTTCAAAGTGTACAAACTGGAAAAATATAAGAAGGAAAGGGAAAAGAGACAATTTGGTTAACTGGACAAATACAGACATTAAAAGGGGAAACACATACATACATACACACACACACACACACACACACACACACACATACACACACACACACACTGAAAGGGCATTTTAGGGCAGTCATGATTTTGTTTTTGGTCTTGAGGGCTGGAATTTATTTAGCACCATTATTTTTGTGGATATATTTTGTGACCAAAAAAGCTAAACTAAAGTACAATATTCTCAAATCTTTTTTGTGGATTTATAAGGAATGTTTAGTTGGTCAGCTCAGAATTAGTCAAATATAAAGGTTAATTCTAGAGAAGATAATAGAACATTGTCTAGCAAAAATGCCTAGTAGTATAGATTGTTATTGATTCCTATTATTTTGAGTGGCAGCTTTTGATTATATTGCTTGTCTTATTCAGTGTATGCCTCTATCACTTTATACGTTGGATGTAATAGATACTACCCAGCCAGCAGCATGAAATCAGTACTACCAATATATACAGAGCTAGTTTCAGCAGTCATCTGTGCAGTCACATAGGATCCTGTGTTCAGAGGGCCTCACACTTGGTTTGGTGTTCTGCTATCATCATCTTCAAATTCTTTTATTTTTTGTCCATTGTGAGGCTTGAACTCTTTGCCTGAGTGCTGTCCCTCAGCTCTTCAGCTGGAGGTTAGTGCTCTACCACTTGAGCCACAGCACCACTTCCGGCTTTTTCTGCTTATGTGGTACAGAGGAGTAGAATACAGGGCTTCATGCATACAAGGCACTCTACCACTGAGCCACCTGCCCAGCCCCCATTTTCAAATTCTTACTAATAATTTTATCTTTGAGCTTGTACTTTATAAATGAAGTCCAACAAGACAATGAGCCATGCATATGAACATAGGAGATAGGGCTCAATATGCTTGTCTATCTACATGTCTTCCTCATTACATTTGCATTTATGAGTAGAACTATTACACTGGGAATTTAGTGTTGCAGCCATGTTTCTAGAAAACATTAACAACCAGGGAATCCTATTGAGAATTTTTCTTCCTAATGTTTCTTCCCTGTGTCAGCCAATCATTTATGCTATAGTGTTTTAACTTCCATCTTATTATTTGTCAGTATACCTTTACTTATTTGTTCTCCCAATCCACTCATACATTTCTTGGCATCCACTCACTAACTCAAGTGATAAGATTCTATGTATTACCGCGGGATGATGTGCAAAGTAGAGCTTCTGTCCTTGAACTAAGAAATATCTAAGTTTCCATCTTTTGAAGGAGGTGCAGTTCTTCAGCAGAGGTCCTTCCTTCAATATTTTCTGAAAGATAAGAATCAAAGCAGTTGATTGATTAAATAAGTTTTCAAGACCGTATTACTTGTCCTTTCCCTCAAATTATTCAGCTCTGTCAATAATTAAATATTTTCACAATTCTTATTTTGTCATATATGATGCATTAGTAGTATGCTTGTTTTATTGTTTCTGGTGGGCTATTTGTCCCTTCTATATAGTTTCCTTTTAATTACCACATATTAATATAAAAAGTAAGAGGTCTTATTGTGATTATCAAAGCATGCATATAATATATTTTAATCATGTTCACCCTCCATTATTCTTTCCTCCTTCCCTTAACTTTCTCTTTCTCCTTCCCAGTAATCCTCCTTTTACATTCATGACCTTGTTTTTTACCCCTAGCTTCTACAAGTGAGAGAAAACGTGATACTTTTCTTTGTAGGACTGGCTTATTGCATTTAGTATGATAATCTCTAATCCTATCCATTGTCCAAAAAACTACATAATTTTATTCTTCTTTATGGCTCATAAAACCATTGTGTGTATATGCTACATTTTATTTATTCATTAACAGACACTTTATTTATTCTATTAACAGACACTTAAGCTAGACCTATACCTTGGCTGTGAACTATAGCTTATGAACAGTGCTGGAATAAATGTAGGTACTTATAAAACCTTCCTTTGATTTTCAGTTTAAAGCCTATAACTCAGATTGACAGATATCTATACAATTACATTCTCTTCTGAAAGGTACCCTCCCTTATAGAACCTATAGAGCAGTAAGCCAAGATCTCCTATGTTGTAACCTGTGAATATGATAGCCCAAGAAGACTGAGATTTTAGCTTAGGCATATCCCAAGCTCTTTCAAGATATTACTATAAGGAAGAAGGAGAAAATGATATATTTCTTTAAGTTCCCATGTTATTTATAATTAGACCACATCTCCAGAAAACCATACATAACAAGGACTTCTCAATAACCCAGCCTCCCATCCCTATGTCAGGGGACCTTAGCCAAGCTCTACAAATCAAGGGGTCATTACAGGTAATAAAACCTTAGAGGAGCAATTTTTCAATATATCATTATAACTAATGATAAACATGAAGTCAACTCCAATAAGAATTATATTGTGGGGCTGGGCATAAGTGTACATGCTTATAATCACAACTACTTGGGTAGTGGAGGAAGAGGAGGTAGAGGGATGGAGGTCCAAAGTCCAAGCCCAGACAAGGAAAATGTGTAAGACCCTATCTGAAAAATAAAGCAAAAATACTAGGGGCACTTTCCTAGTAAGCACAAGGTCTGAATTCAGGCCCCAGTACTGCCCCTAAAAGATACATATTACAAGCTCTAGAGCAACTATCAAGAAAATAACTTTAAAACTTTGTTAAACTAGGAACCAGTAGCTCATGCCTGTTATTCTAACTCCTCAGGAGGTTGGGAGCTGAGGATCATAGTTTGAAGCCATCTGGGGCATTTTATCTCCAATTAACCACAAAATAAACTAGAAGTAGAACTCTGGCTTAAGTAGTCAAGTGCTAGCCCTGAGCAGAAAAGCTCAGGGACAGCACCCAGGCCCTGAGTTCAAGCCCCAGAACTGGCATACACACACCACCACCACCACCACCACCACCACCACCACCACCACCACCACCACCACCACCACCACACCATGAAATGCCACTTATTAGAATGGCTAAAATCCAACATGTTGATAATACCAAATTCTGGCAAGGATGTAGAGCAACAAAGACAGTCATTTATTGCTGGTAGGAATGGAAAATAGTACAGCCAGTTTGGAAGACAGTTTAGCATAAAATTTACCCATTGCAATCTTTGGTGTTTATCCAAATGCACTGAAAACATGTTCACACAAAAACCTGTATATAAAGTGGGTGGTCCTAGCTACTCAAAAGAGGCTAAGATCTAAGGATTTCTGTTCAAGGTCAGCCTGGGCAGGAAAGTCCAAGAGATTCTTATCCTCAATTAACCACCAAAAAACCAGAAGTGGAGTTGTGGCTTAATTGGTCAAGTGTTAGCCCTGAGCAGAAAAGCTCAGGGACAATGTCCAGGCCCTGAGTTCAAACCCCAGGATTGGTACAAAAAAATCTACTCACAATAGAAGTTTTACTCATAATTATCTATCCAAGTGTTTCTGTGTAAAATTTGTGATTTTCCAACAGTAGTAACTTATTGAAAAATTTAAATATCTGTTTGTTTGTGTTTGGAGTACTAGGGTTTGACTCAATAGTCTTACATTTGCTAGGCACATACTTGAGCTACACTCCTATTTCTTCTTAACTTTAGTTGTTTTTTTTCAGATACGGTTTCTTGTTTTGCCCAATTTGCATCAGACCATTATCATCCTACCTATTTCTCCTGTGTTGGTAGAGTCCCAGATATACACCACCATGCCTGTCTTTTTGGTTGGGATGGGTTCTTGATAACTTTTTGTCTGGCCTGGTCTCAAATGGTGATCCTCTCTATCCTTGTCTCTTGAATAGCTGGGGTGTGTGTGTGTGTGTGTGTGTGTGTGTGTGTGTGTGTGTGTGTGTGTGTTTGTGCTGGTCCTGGGGCTTGAAATCAGGGCCTGGTCATTGTCCCTGAGCCTGTGTGCTTAAGGCTAGTACTCTACCACTTAAGGCACAGCTCCATTTCCAAATTTTTGGAGATAAGAATCTCAGGGACTCTTTTGCCTGGGCTGGCTTCAAATGGCAATCCTGAGGTCTCAGCCTCTTGAGTAGCTAGGATTAAAGGTGTGAACCACCAGTTTTATCTTTTTTTGTGTGCCAGTGCTATGGCTTGCTCAAGAATAGCATTTTACCACTTGAGCCAAAACTCCACTTCTAGATTTTTGGTTGGTAATTGGACAATAGAGTCTTATTAACTTTTGTTGGGCACTGGTGGCTCACACCTGTAATCTTAGCTACTCAGGAGGCTGTGGTCTGAGGATCACAATTTGAAGCCAGTCTGGGCAGAAAAGTCTGTAAAATTCTTATCTCCAATAAACTATTCAGAAAAAGCCAGAAGTGGTGCTGTGGCTCAAGTAGTAGAGCTCTAGCCTTGAGCACCAACAAGCTAAGGGACAGTGCCAAGGTCCTGAGTTCAAGCCCCAGGACCGAGGTGTGTGTGGGGGGGGTGGGGATGAGTCTCACATACTTTGCTCTCCACGTTGGCTTCGAGATCCTCACATGTCAGCCTCCTGAATAGCTAGGATTACAGAGGTGAACCAGGCCTACTCTGGGTCCTGTTTATTTGTTTAAAGCAGCCCCAGGACACCAGTTTGAACACGAAGAAGCTAAAAATCACTCAGTCAGTGGATTTTCTCAATCAATAAAATATATGCAGACAAAACAATCTTTACCTACTTGAGGCTACTAAATTGAGCAAGTACTTGTAGGAAAAGTAGAAGAAGCAAGCATACAAGCAATCAATCCATGGCTTTTTACAGATAACATTTTCCCCTTCATCACAACCAAGTAGAGTGTCTTTTCTAATTTCCAGATGTTAATTTTGAAAACTTGGGCATTTTTCACTACTTTGGTCAAAGACTTTCAATTACAAAATGCTGGTGGACTCTGTGCTTTCTTTCCCTATGACAAGGAAACTGGGAGTGCTTGATTAATTAATATGTACAGAACAGAGTGAACACATACCCCATCTTACCCCCAACTAAACTTTGTCCTAAAAGACAAGGCCCCAGATAGCTAAGAATTAAAAAGTCATATAAAAACATTTTTAAAAAGGAGTTCTGTAAATAATTCTGAATACTCATAACTACAACTGAGTTCATGCTTCCCTTGAAGAAGCAACAAGCAATACTTCTTTATCTAGAGACATAATGTTTCATGGTGAGTGAATGAGTATTCTGTTTTTTAAAAAATAAGTGTTCAGGGGCTGGGAAGGTGGCTCAGTGGTAGAGTGCTTGCCTTGCACGCATGAGGCCCTGGGTTCGATTCCTCAGCACCACATAAGCAGGAAAAAAAAGCCAGAAGTGGTGCTGTGGCTCAAGTGGTAGAGCACTAGCCTTCAGCTGAAGAGCCCAGGGATAGCACCCAGGCCCAGAGTTCAGGCCCAAGAACTGACAAAAAATATAAATGTTCAAAGCCAGGCACCAGTGCCTCATGCCTGTAAGCCTAGCTACTCAGAAGGTTTAGATTTGAGGATAGCAGCTCAAAGCTAGCCTGGGCAGAAAAGTCCAAGAGAGGGCTAGGAAGGTGGCTCAGTGGTAGAGCTCTTGCTTGCCTTGCATGCATGAGGCCCTGGGTTCGATTCCTCAGCACCACATAAGCAGAAGAAAAAAAAGCCAGAAGTGGCACTGTGGCTCAAGTGGTAGAGTGCTAGCCTTCAGCTGAAGAGCTGAGGGACAGCACCCAGGTCCAGAGTTCAGATCCCACGACTGGACCCTTCCCCCTCAAAAAGAAAAGAAAAGTCCAAGAGACTCTTATCTCCAATTAACCAGCAAAAAGTCAGAAGTGGAGGTATGGCTGAAGTGATAGAGAGTACTAGCCTTGAGAGAAAAAGCCAAGTGAGAGCATGAGGCCCTGAATTCAAGCTCCAGTGATGGACCACACACAAGATCGAGTATTCAAAAAATACAGCAGTGGTCCTCACTAGACACTATGTGGAAAATGAACTATACAAATGTGGGTGGGGGGAAAGAGCAAAGGGTTCACATGACTTGTATAACTATAACCCCTCTGTATATCACCTTTATAATGTCAACAAAATACAGTTTATTAAAAATCAAATGTTTAAGACTGACAGAAAGACTAACTGGAATCCACATGTATACAGTGCCTTGTAATTAATAAAATTCATTTATTTTCATTATGAAGTCATTCTAGCAGTCCCCTGAAGTAGATAGAAAAGTCATCTTCTAACTTAGTTTTGTCCTATGAAACACAGGTTAAACTTTACATTTCTTTACATGGCTTGCCCATATATTTTTATTTTAAATGAATCAACACAGAATTTGCTATTTTTTCTCTCATATAAGATAGCTCATTTTGCTTTTCACTTT